ATAAGTACTACCCATCACCCTTTGCTGAGTTGAAGGTCTATCTCTTCATAAATGCTAACACTTCATATGTCCAGTGACCATTCTACACGGACCAGAGCAGTCATCTGATTTTTGCTTGCTCGCCCGGTGCCCGGCACATTTTACATGAGGTTGAATGTGTAAAAATAATTTTTTAATTTTTTAATTTAATTTGAATTTATAATTATTTAATCATTAAAATTTTAATATTATATTAAAAAATTATTTAAATTATTAAATAGATCATGAAATATAATTTATACTGCTCTTATTTCTTGGGCTGGGATGGAGAAGGTGAAGATGAGCGAAATAATGAAGCTTCGGCCATCCAAGCAGGACCCGTTGAAACCACCAAGCTGTGAAGGCTAAGGGGACCAATCAACAAGAATCAACTGAAAGCTATCGTGTCAGCATGCCATTTAAGACTGCTGCAATTTGTGACCCCACGATAAAATTAGGCGCGTGCAGCTAAGCATTGAATGGTCGGCTCGTGGGGTGGTTTCTCTTCTCTAGTTCAAATTTCGAGAAATAGACCTTTTGGGCATCATTTAATGTACAAATACCGACAAGGAGTTTTCCCGTCGCTAGTCATTTCTTTATATACAGGTTTTACGAATATGAAATATGTCAATTCAGCTAAGCATAGCATGTATATGCCTTTGGTTTTACCTTTAAAAGTTAATTACAGGAGGCATTTTCTATAATAATTTGAAGCGACGACATTTACAGTAATTTCATGTAGGTAATTATTATGATTATGCTATGTTTATATGGATTTTTTTTTTATCGGTATAGCCAACATTTCAAGAATTTATTTAAAATAAAATTACCAACTAAATTTCATTAACAAAATTAAAAGTGCAGCTTAAGAACTATTTAAATAAATAAATCCTTATAGTGTCTTTTAAAATTTCTAAACTATTAATGAGGTTTTAAAAATCCAAATAATATAGGAACAAACTTTTATTTTCTTGTCTTCATGTTCATTAAATAATTTAGTAACATTATGTTTAAATTGTTTAAAGTAAAGTGACTTTCAGTAAAGTAAAATGACTGGCAAAATATTTGAATAGATTAAAAAAATAATAATAAAAACCTATTCTTGACTATACTAAAATATTTAAAATTGAGTGTGATATATCGAGAGTTGGAATAGTTCAGAGTACTTAGTTAGAAATATTTAATGAGGTCAAATAAAAGTATTCAATCTATAATAAGAAATTTTATGTAGCAGTATTGATATCATTATTAGTTATTATACCATAAGGCCTTTCATTATCTTTACTTTTAAAAGAAACTCAACTAAAGGCATGGTTATTGGGTTGAGTATTTGCAAGCTTATTCATTTGTATTAAATATAAATTTTGGGTTGAAAATAAAGCTGTAGATGCCTTAAGTTGTTGAGTAACACTATTATCCGTAATAAGTGTCTAAATTACTGGATTTGAAAAACTCAAAAAATAATATGAATCTTACCCAAATTTTGGAAAGGTATACATAACCTTGAGAGATAAAAGTATCCTTGTCGTATATGGTTATTTCTTTCAAAAAGAGTATTTGTTTTGAGACAACAAGATTTGTATCCTACAAATATCAATACGTGATTTTTTAATTTGAGAGATTCATGCTAGAGGTTTTTTAGGACACTTTAAGAGAAATAAGACCATTAAGAATGTGGAATGCCAATTTCTTTAGTGCAGTTCACATAGAGACGTAGCTAAATTGATTAGTCAATGTTAAATATGTCAATTAGTTAAATATAGAAAACAAAACACTAGTATTTACAATCCCTTTTCTATTCCCACTTGTCATTAACAAGATACAAGTATGGATTTCGATGCCTACCACCTTCAAATTGATGACCAAATTAAGGTGAGTAATAAGAGTTTAGGCAATCTTTTGAGATATCTAGCGTGTAATCATAATAAAAATTGAGATTTGATCATTCTCAAAACTTACTTTGCTTTTAATAATTTGGTCAATAGGTCAACAAGAATAAGTCCATTTAAAGTTGTATATAATTATAGACATAGAAAACCTTTACACCTTTTTCCCATGTCTCCTCATACTAGATTGTTTGAGTTACTCGAGTTATTTGCATGTAGAGTTCTGGATTTGTATATGAATATCACTAAACATATTCAAGAAAGTAATATATAATATAAACTTCAAACTAATTTGTATATACATCATAATGAATATAATATTGAAGATTATGTCATGATACAAACTATACACGAGTGGTATCCTTCTAGAGCTACTCATAAATTGCAAGCATGTAGTGTTAGATCATTCAAAGTGCTACAACGGGTTGACTCAAATGCTTATGTTATATACTTACCACTTGATTTTAGCATTATGTCCACTTTTAACATTAAAGGTCTGGTTGCATATAAGAGACCATAACTCATCTTGTATAATCTTTTGAGACTCCACCTAGTCTCACTTCTAATGATCCTTTTAAAACCCCAACTTTATCCACTTTATCATCGATATAAAAGAAAAATATTGATGCTATTCTAGATGAACATGTTATTTTTACCAGGAGTGATAAGATTCAATAATTTCTAGTTTGTTGAGTGGGACAACTTGATTCAGATTGTATTTTGATTATTAGAGATAAATTGCAACAAATTGATCTCAATCTTTAGAAGTACTATCACAGTTATTTAGATTTACATTTGACAAGGTCGAGTTTCTCTAACTCCGGAAGAGTTGGTGGTAACACCAGACCAATATAGTAGATTACACGAGTATATAAAAGAAAACGATAAAAAATAATTTGACATGATACTCTTTAATTGAGAAATTTACCCTATACATATCCATTGAGGTTAAATTATATGTCATTTACGCTCTTATTATTTATAATTAAGTTCTTTCCACGTATAAATATCAAATCATAAGATATAATTTATAAAAAAAATAAATTAAGGATGAGATTAAGAATTTCAAAGACATGAATCGACTATAAAAATATATGTATGTTTGGATTGGATAGATGCTATAATGTAAAACAATTTTAGTATAAATAAAGAAACAATTCAAATTATAAACATGTTTATGGAAGTTTTGAAGTTGAATATTAATTGTATTAAGATTTTAATAATTCGTTTTTCATTGATATTAAACCTAATATTAATTTCATCTTTCAGGCACACAATGTCATCACCACCTGTTAACAACAATAATATAGATAAAATTGTTTTCTTTTTGTAGGCAACTAGTCTAAAACCTTAAAAATATAGATAAAGTTAATTATATTGATTAACAGAAGTCATAAGAAAATTTATGTTATTTACCATATATATATATATATAATCAAATTAAATTAATAAAAGAAACAATCACCTTACCATATATGTACAATACAACCAGGCCGACATTATACAATCTTCAATAACACATTTATGAGATATGGAGAGTGTTATGTTAATTATCTATATAGTTTTTAAAATAGCATATCCTTGTATTCAAAATTATTAATATTTAAATATTATATTGATTTTTTATTAATAATTTACTCCATAATCAATACATTGTATATAAAGATCACTGCAAATATAAATTAACTATTTTAAGTTCTTTACAATCCAAAACATCATTTTAAAATACAGAGGCACAATCACTAATATATGTCAGAGATGAATATCGACGGGTGCGTCAATTTATTTTTCCTACTTTATCTTTCACTGTGCATGTAATAATAGATTATTGGTGCAGCAAATAGAATTTCTGAAATTTAAAAAATATGAAAGATCGAATGCATGAATCGAGAGAAGAGTGGTGAAACTTCACCGCTTATTATCACAACACACAAATCACAAGTATACACGCTCAGAAGACCCTGAGCCTGATTCGTCACTCCCATAGGCAACCCTGTTCTTGTAAAACTGAACTGAAATTAAAGCTTACTAGTAGCAACTGCTGGCTCAGAAGACCCTTTTAAAGACAAGCTTCCACTGTTTCTGGAGCTAGTGCCTGAAAGCAAAGCTTCATATTGAGAATAGTTTGGAACAAGGCCAAACAAGCATGGAACAGTCACAGAACAAATTGCTGACTGAGTTAGCAACTTCAAATCAGAATGTCGTGCGTTATATAGAAACTCAGTCTCCAACATAAATGGAGATAACCTCAAGAGGTTGGTAGAGTGGAGCACAAATTGGATGTATAGATGCATAATATAGGTTAAAATCCTACTAATTCTAACTACATCGAAAAGGTGAATCTGACTTGGTGATGCGCACGAACTAATCAGAGGATGCTGCCTGACAGTGAAAATAAAAGGAACAGAAAATTTGAAGCGAGCACGCTTTATGAACAAAAGAAATGTCATCATTTGAGAAATCTCAGCAACTAGATGTCATAATTCCTACATCCTAGACAGCAAACTCTTACCAAGCTTCAGAAATTAGCCAAAAGAAATTGCCCACAAACAGCTTCCCAGAGTAATAATATGGAAAGTAAAGCAATTGCATTAGTCAATAAGCATTGTATCTATCCATTGTAGTTGATAAGAGATCAATAATAAGAACACAAGATTCCATATTCTACTCATGAACATGGAAGAGAAAGCAAGGCCAACTTGCTGATCATTTCTTCTCTGGTGTAAGCTCCAAGAAGCTTCTTCAAAATAATCCATCCTGTTTTTATCTACGATGTTATTTGTAGATAAACACATCGACCCATGCATAAACACGCACGATAATGAATGGGTACAAACAAAAGAAGTTCCTAACAATTATATTGCAAGTTTAGAAAGCGATTTAACGAGCAGTCAAGTTCAAAGCCTATACATATTGCCCGTTAGAGAGGTTGTATTATGTGAAGTTGTCAGTTAACTTCTCTCCTCGCCCTTTGTTAACATCAAGCATGATGTATAATTGCATAGAACAGCAGGATTTAAAGTTGTTGGACACTGATTAACTGGCATTTCACAAATGAGTAAAAAGATTTATTCTTTTGTGGGAAAAAGCAACACGAGAGGAATCTAGGCAAATTTGACTTCAGCATCAGAAAAATTTCACATCTGTAGGAATTTTACTGAATTTCGATACAAGGATCAAACGAATATAAATGGTATTTTGATGGCCATGCATCTGTAGCATGGTACATGAAACCAGAGAAAACCTGAGAACTAAAGACAAGTATGATAATACAATCTTAAGCAATCATTTCCGGCCAAAAAAAATAACCGTGTTTTCACCTTGTGGGAAGTTGGGATGAATTATTGATCGAGCATGGAATAAAAGCTAAAAAGCATGTTAAGGGATTTTTTCAGTTTTCAGATACTGCTCTGATAATTCCGCAGCAGCCAAATTCAAGGTTTGTCTTTTTTCGCTCTGAGCAGTAAGTTGGTTGAGTTCATGGCATCAAAGAAGCTGAGCTGACCACTTGAAATTGGATGCGTGACTTTTAGCTTGAAATAGATTGTTTGTTGCTGGATGAAGACTCACGGAAGTTTACTCCTAATCATGCTGACGTTGAAGCAATTCTGCATTATGTGATGATGTTAATGCCTTCCGAAGCTCAGTTATCACTTGCTAGTCATATAAGACATGTAAATGATGAAGCTGTGCATCTATCAACTAGGTACACCTGTACTAATGCATCCCTGACGACATACTACTCGGTGTTGTCCACTTATTCTGCAGACTTTGCTAGGAGGAAGTACCGATTTGATGTACTTTGATTGCTATATATTAACACAAATTTTATTAAAAAAAAATGCATTCCAAGAGAAAAAAAACATAGCAAAAATATTTGAAACACTTCACTTACATTTACTGGTCACTAGTCAGATTCCATGACATACAGTAGAAACCAATGATGTTATTAAACAAAACACTAAGCGTATGATTCTAAGAAGAAGAAAATTCAGAAAAATATTATGCACATTTCACTTATATTTACTGGACAGTTTCCATGACATTCAGAAGACAACTGATGTTAAATAAAACACTACAAGATAATACCAAAGCATAGCTGTAAAGTAGAAACCATGGGAGAGATGTTATCAGGGGCAATTTTCGTATGAGCTGTCTATCAGCATATTTTGTAAAGTGGGAACATGTTTAATATTACCATGATAAATTTTGGACAAAAAATGCAGCTTGCTAGTGAATATACTAGACATGCAGCATATGAGTTGTATGGAATAGAGTTTCTAGTATAAGACCATTCTATAAGTCTTTCTACCTTGATAGATAATAATGAGGAAGAAGATGACTGTGATGAACATGGCAGATAAGCTACTGCTCGAAGATGACGCCTTTGCTGCTCTCATCTTCTTTAGCGCTTTAAGTCTTTCAATCCTGGCACGTTTTCTCATGGCAAGCTCGGTGATTTCTTTCATCAACTTCTGGTCAGAAGCATTCAGTGACAGACTTCTAGGAGGTCTCGGTGGCTTGGGAGGTTTTCTCAAATTCTTCTTTATATGTTTCTCTTCGACATCCTTCCTATCCACAAAGGCTTTCTGCTGTCCCTCTTTTCCTTCTGAATTCTTGTCTATCAACAATTCCACATCCTCAGCACCAACCTCACCAAAGCTTGATGAATTCACCAATCCTTGAAAACCCACAGGCCCAGTCCATGCCTCCATTAAAAGTGCCTTGGCTTGTCCATTTGCTGAAATGGGATCACTCATTCGATCCTCATCACTGGTTGTCCCGCCACTTTCAAGATCAACTTCAAGCTCCCTTTCTCTCGAAACAGAATGGCCCATCATCCAAGGTAGATATCGATAACACTACTCTCCCGCTATTTATAACTCAAACACTGTTATCATCGTATTGTAAAACTCACAAATGAAAGTGTCGCCTCAATCAAATCCTATTGAAGGAACTCTTCATTCCAAGCTAAAACAAAGAGAACCCTTGATCAACTGTAATGCCCAAATCTATCCACAAATGCAGAATGCAGTGAGCCCTCGTAATTCAGGAGACGTTTTTACTTGCCACCCATAATTTATCAATCAGGATAAAATCTTTTGAATTCTCTTTCAATCACCCAAACCTCAAACAATCAACAAACCCCAACATGCCAGAACCTGTGACATTAAACGTAAAATTTCAGTGTTGAATCAATAAACTTGAAAACGTCAAAAAGACAAGTACAAGGAACAAGAACAAACAGAAATCATGTAACGATCCATATCAACAAAAAATAAAAATGTTCCCTTTAATCTAGCATTTTCTGAAACTTACAAATTTGGTCAACTTCACAGAGCAATTCTAGCTAAACAGCCCAGAAACCAAAGGACAACAGGAAAAAGGGAAATTAAATGTACATTTAGCCTCGATGTAGTAGGAGGTTGGTGCACGAAGGATTGAACGTGGGCTTCGTCCAAAGATAAGGGTAGGTACCCCTTTATTTAGCATGTTCATCTTGACCCTTAGCTTATAATTAGCATTCAGCACCTGCAGAAAGGAGAATAAAACTAATTGACGCAAAAATACAGTAAATTAAAATAATTCTTATTTTTTAAAATTTATTTTTAATATTAACAGCAATCAAAAAAATTAATTTATAATAAAATAAAAAAATAAAATTTTAACCCAAAAAAATAAATTGAACCTTATTACCAAACAAGCACTAAGTAAGCTATTAGTCACTCACCAACACTTGCAAAAACGAAATTTGACATCCCAACTTTTTATCCAAAATACACAACCAGGCAAAAATAACAGCACAAAATCTGACTTTAAAAGGGTTGGGCTTAATACTTTGTGATCTCTTCAAAGGTATATTTGCCCTGCATTTCAACCGGAATTTTTAAAGAATTTAAATTATTTTCGTGGGGTGTTCGGGTCAGCTTGCGCGCACCACGACTAATCCCCACGGCCCACTGAATATCTTGCAAATCCAGTAGGCATGTAAGACACCGCGGGGGTGACAGGCGTGCACGCTAGGGCTTGAACCCAGGTACAATGAAAGGAGACAAGCCCCTTCCACCGCTAGGCCAAGCCATAGTTTGCTCACATTTCAAATTTTGAAAACTAGCAAAATTGTCAAACTTAGAATAAATTTTACCGTACAGTGCTCTTCCCGCTACAAGGCACTGGTGCTGTTTCTTTCTTTTTAATGGTATTAAGGAGAATGTCTGCGCACCGCAGTTCATTACATTATATTATATTCATAGTTATCCAACAAAGTTGAATTAACCTACGTTAATTTTAAAAAAAAATTATTTGATAAATAATATAAAATTAAAAAATAATTCATATAAATGTAAATTATATATATTATAAATAATAAAATTTAAAAAATTATTTTAATTTTTTTATTTTACATTAAAAAATATTATCTTCTTCTTTTAAATTAAAATATTTAAATAAAAAAATTATTGCATCATATTAAAAAAAACATGATTTTTTCTTGTGAATATAATTAATATATATATATATATATATATATTAATAGACTTTTAATTATATATTAAAAAAATAAAATTATTTTTTATTATTTATACAATGAACTTACAAGAAAATTAGGTTGAATAAAAGAAAAACTTTTAATTACTCCCCCTGCAGGCAACACCTATGCTTTCTATACTCTCTTCTCACATATATAAAATTAGGTTGAATAAAAGAAAAACTTTTAATTACTCCCCCTGCAGGCAACACCTATGCTTTCTATACTCTCTTCTCACATATATAAAATTAGGTTGAATAAAAGAAAAACTTTTAATTACTCCCCCTGCAGGCAACACCTATGCTTTCTATACTCTCTTTTCTTTTCTTTTTATCCATCTTTTAACAAAAACCATAACTCATTTGGTAATTATGTTTTTTTTATTGCTGACCTCTTTGTTTTCGTGGGACATGCTGTTAGAAAATATGTCAACCTGCCATGATATAAATGATCATTGAATTAAATAGCCAGTTTGGTTAAATAAAAAATGTTAATTCAATATTGCTATTCATTAATTTAATTTATCAGTTTGTTCAAAAAATGCTGGCATGGTAAGATAAAAACAAAAAGAAAAAAATTAGCGAGGTTTTATTAGGTTTTGCTAGATTACTTAAGGTACGAGTTGACCTAACAGGTTTTTTCAAGTCACTCAAAGTACGAGTTGACTTAATGGGTCATACAAAATTTATTGAGTCAATTACAGGCCTAGATTTTAGTTTCTTAAAACTTGACAAGGGCCTTAAGTCAACTACGTCAACCAACTTAATCAACTTAATCGAGTTTAATAATTATAATTATATTATGTGATTTTTGATAAAGATAAAAATAAAAAAACCAGTACAAAAACAAAAAAAAACAAAAACAAAGAAGAAAAGGAAGAAAAAAAAAGGAAAAAGGAAAGGAAAAGGAAAACTAAGATGACTAAAACAAACCCAAAAATGACCTTCCTTTAAGCATTTAAACTTGACTATTACCCGCTGAGCTGCTCACATGACTAAAAGATTGATATCTTCTTCTAAGTGCAAGAGTGTCGAAGTAATAAATAACCCAGTAAGACTAGGGTCGAACAACAACGAGGTTAACTATATAAATCATAAATAATAATAATAATAATAATAAGTTAAAGAGGACTTTGAGATGTAAGATTAATGTGATGATTAAATAATGATAAAACAAATGTCAATGTTAGAGGATTCACTAATGGTATTAAAAATAAATATAATATAAACTCATTCTGTTACTCAACTGGAAACCATATACAAAAGAGGTTTCAATCGGATGATTTGTCATTAATAGCTCATTATAAATTGTTAATATGATCATATTAATTATTTTATTCAAGTAACACCAAACTTTTAAATGTTGTCAAGAATTCATGATGTTAACTTATATTAACAATAAATCAAGTTCCTTTCATAGCACATGTATAGGTTATACCATACAGTTGGCTATGAAAGTATCAAGCATTTGTTGTACCAAGTGTTATACAATACAAATCTAGATTAACCATTTAACAAATAGGGTATTAAGAATTAATAACATAAAAATGATAAGATATGTTAATAGCAAGTTGTTTAGGATATAAGTATTGAAGTCCTTATTGAATTTATATTATACTTATCTTAAAATCATTAGTGAAATATTTTCACATTGACATAATAAACTTAGCTGAACATTATGAATAAGAGAAACATATATAAATAAGATAAAAACATAATTACGTAAGTATAGTGACACGACCAAAAGATTGATATCTTCTTACAAATGCAGGAGTGTCGAAGTAATAAATAACCTAGCAAAACCGGGGTCAAATCACGGGGAGGTTAACTATATAAATTATAAACAACAACAACAACAACAAGAAGAAGAAGTTAAAGAGGATTTTGAAATTGAAAGATTAATATGAGGATTAAACAATGATAAAAAAAAATGTTAAGGTTAGAGGATCCACTAATGGTATTTCAGACAAGTATAATATAAACTATTTTTATTACTCAACTAGAAATCACATACAAAGGAGGTTCCATAGTAGTAGTAGTAGTAGTAGTAGTAGTAGTAGTAGTAGTAGTAGTAGTAGTAGTAGTAGTAGTAGTAGTAGTAGTAGTAGTAGTAGTAGTAGTAGTAGTAGTAGTAGTAGTAGTAGTAGTAGTAGTAGTAGTAGTAGTAGTAGTAGTACTAATAATAATAATAATAATAATAATAATAATAATAATAATAAAGAAAAAGAAGGAGAAGAAGAAGAAGAAGATGAGAACTTTGAGATGGAATATTAATGTAACGATTAAACAATGATAATAACAAATGTCAAGGTTAGAGGTTCCACTAATGGTATATCAAACAAGTATAGTATAAACTCTTATTATTGAATTGGAAACCACACACAAAGGAGGTTCCAATCAGATTATATATTGTTAACATGATTACATTAGTCATCTTATTCAATTAATGCTAATACTTGTAAATCTCGTCAAGCATTCATGATTATAACTTATGTTAACAATAAATCAAGTTCCTTTCATAGCTCAGGTGTCGGTTATACCATACATTATGGGCTATGAAAGTGCCAAGCATTTGTTGTACCAAGTGTTATACAACATAAATCAAGATTAGTCATTTAACAAGCAAAGTATTAAAGAGTGAACAAGATAACAAATATAAAACATGTTAGTATCAAACATTAAAGTCCATATTAAGTTTACATTATACTTATTCTTACACCATTAGTGTAACCTTTTCACCTTGACATAATTAACTTAGCTAGACATAATGAAAGAAAGCAAAATAGATAAACAAAATAAGAACATAAAAGTTAACTAAGTAAAGGAAAGGAAATGAAAGGCATAAACTTAATATTAATGAAAACAAAGCATAAAAAATACAAAGAGAGAAAGGAAGAGCATGATCTTGATCTGGAAACCAAGATGCCTAAATGCATGGCAAATGCCTCCTTTTATAGGCCAAAATTGGGAACTATTGATTTGATGACTAATTGATAAGTGGGTGACCAACTTTTGACTTGGTGACAATCCTTATCTTCTCTTGTCTGCCCAAAACGTCATTGATAACGTCAAAATTGGAGCCAGTTGTAAACATGAAAGTTGTAGGCAATTGTCTCAGCTTTCTTGTGTAAAAACTTCAGCTCATTTGGACTTCTAGAACTCCAGATATGGCCAAAATACCGAACAGTGCTCGGGCTGGAAGACAGATTCGGGCTTCTTTGTTGTTGCTACAATTTGGACTTGATAATGGCCTTTTTAGATCTTGGGCTCCATATGAAAGTTGTAGGCCTATGTCTTACCTTTCCATCCATATAAATTGGACCTAAATCTGAGATTTGTAGCTCCAGATATAACCCAATTACCGAACAGTGTTCCGGTTTGGATTGCACCGACATCTCTTCTCTAAGTTTGACCATCTCTTTATCCATGCAATTTAAGTTCTTCAAGTCATCAATCAATCCTTTCATTTATGTGATAGACCTGCATTAAAAATAGACATTTACCACAAATTATAGGTATCTTATATTATTAGATACATTATTATAAAACATACTCTAGTTAAGGAGTTATTGATGCTTCAAGTGCAAAATGATGATATAAAACCTTGATAAAAATGCACTTTTAAGTACTAATCAGCTACTATTTAATTATTATTGGTTAAGCTACAAGCATTTAATAGAAACACATGGTAACCCCCATAAATCATAATCATATGTTCCTATTAAAATTCAAAGAGAACCAACCTACACCACTAAGTCAACTAGTTTTTTGTTTTTAATAGGAAAAAAAATCTCTAATTATTTTATTAAGAGAATAAGAACGATACAATACACGCACATACACACAATACTAATCAACCTAACTTAGAAAACTAATTATATATGAAAATAAGAAAATTAATATAAAGAAATTAACTCTAAATCCTTATACATAAAATCAGAAAACTCAACACTCCCTTGCAAGTTGATACATAAAATTCATACATGCTTAACTTATTTA